AGGTCCAATTGGTCACTGACCAATGCCCTGTGGGCGGGGCCATCTATGTCGGTGACCGCTGTGGGCGTGGCCATCGATGACCGCGGCCTTTCATAGGTCACTGGGATGGGAAAGGGGGAAAAGCCCGCTCTGCTGCGCTGTGATTGGTCGAATCGGGCTTGGCTCCGCCATTCTGTGTTGTGATTGGTCCATGGGTGAGTACGCACACTTTTACTACAACTTAGTACTAGAATTCTATTTTTATTCATCACATAATTTAGAGAACAATACTAGCAGGGACAGCAATAACGCCAATAACACTAATAATTATCATAGTAATATTAGTTAACCTTATTATAAGTTCATCGCCAGACTTCGTGATGGAATGGAGGTTTAACGGGTCCACAGAAGCCCGCAATGGCTTTTGGGACGTGAACCGCACCGTTATGATATAACTTAGCATATCATCATAAATAAAACAATGACGAGATACGCGGCACTCACCAACAAAAAGAAATCTAAAAAATAGGCGACACACACCAATAGGTGACACGCACAAATAGGTGTCACACACCAAAATATGTGCAACGCACTAACAAGACCAGTGGAAATAAACCGTACAAGACGAAGCTAAAACACAAGAAAACAGTTCCAGAAATATTGCAACATATTCATAAATTGGAAGACCGAGCGAACAAGGAAATGTTCATGGCAAAAATGTTGCGCGATAATAGGTTCTAGCACCTCCCGATGAAATTATATTTTCAGTTTCCTTTTTGAGTTTAAATCAACAAGGGAATCAGGGAGTTCGTTGAAGATCTCAAGTACAGACAAAAAGGCACATTCTTTTTCTGTATTTGGTAAACACTCCGGCTATTTAAAAATATTCACAATGTCTGAGGTGGCGATCGGATAATGCGGACGTTAAAAGGAACTTGTCTAAAATGCTTAATAAACTATGTATTTTAGACAGTTCCTTAAAACGTAGGAGAAAGAAAACCTAGCTAGTACATATTGTCATAACCTGCATCAAGTGTGCTGTACGGCACCCTTTTGAAAATTTATTTCAAGATAATATCTATCTTGTTTTGCCATAATGATAAACATTTGGCATGCTAAGTAATTCTCTAAGTGAGCACACCATATGTCAAAAGAATGGCTATAATGTTTCTCACGAAATAGGCACACATGTTGTTTTAGCATACATTAGACATGACATTCTGCACAGTTTGTTTAGTGATATAAGTAAGATGGGAATTCCACAAAAACTCGCCGTCAAACGGTATTTTCTAGGGCTGGGCATTTCATCGATTAACCAACCGTTTAATCAATTAATGCCTTAATCGCGATTCAGTTTTCAACCGGTTAATCAAATAAATGTTGACGAAGAAAAAAAAATAAAAATTCAACTCTGTCAGCACGGAGACGTGGAGGAGTATACCTGTATGAACTTTTTTTATGTGAAATGCTGACCTAAAGTAAACTGTAGGGGCGAGATTTGTAGCTCCATACAAGTAGAGAAGGTTATACGTGTCCCACCGAATTGCACCGCCGGCAAGTGTCCGTTTTGAGCATCGGAGAGTATAGGGCATAATCAAAGGAGAATACCAACGAACTTGTTAGCCTCCGCGGCTGATGTAAGAAGTTGTGACTGTGTGTCGTTTGACTGCTCCCAACTACAGATAAAGGTTGATTTAAAATCGGGGATTGCATATTGTGCAGTTTATAACGGCGAAGGCAAAATATGCAATTATGACTTAAACTATTATACCTGGTAATAAACGAAACCGATTAATGTAATAATTAATCGATTAAAGAGTGGCGATTATTCGGGTTCAAAAATTTGATCGACGCCCGGCCCTATCATTTCCCAGTATTTATTAGTGTTCAGATACTCAATGGGAGCACAATTACAATCTATGTATTGTTACGAGTTGATATAGAAATTAATGTCTAGGCATAGTTGTAAACCCGAGACTGGAGATACGGACAAGGGACAAACACCTACGCTCAATTTACATCAGCTAGCCTGCACCCTCACCACTGCTTCAATGTCTAGGCGTTCTTATTTCAGCGGTCTGCTGAAACACGCATCTTTTGTTTTTCTAGTTTTAATTTTCATGAAGTTGGTTCTAAACCAGTCTATCGATGAAGTTGAATATGCGTGGAAATAAATATTAGCACTGGGAAACTTCCCCTCACGCGACACCAGTAACGTATCGTCAGCTTACTGATATAACTGAAATTCAAATAATACACTTTAATATAATAGCGCAAACTGAACTTGAACGAAGGGGCACACATACGCAGGTACTGCCGCTGACTTCCAACTAAGTTTATTAAAACATAAAACAAAGCAATATACACCAACGCCTTCTCTGTCGACTATGAACTTACTAGACCAATCAAAAACTCGTACTTCAAATACAGCTTTTTCTTGGCCATTCACATAACATTACACAAAAGTGGGACTAAAATATAACCTTGCCATACCCCTGACTTTAACGTCACGCGTGCGCTCCTATCATTGGCAATCAAGGCCAGCTGCGTTCTGTTTGATAAAAACTGTAAAGTAACAAAAAATAGACCTCTAAAAACCCCGGTAAACTATTTTTTAAATAGAATTTTGAGGGATAAAGTTCAATTTTTATATACCCAAAACACAGCACAAGAGAATTCGTTCCTGTGGAATGCGTATACAGCGTATCGGCAAAATCCTCTAGTAAAGAACATGTGCTCCAAACAGCAATAAAACCGTACTGATGTGACGACGGAAGATCAAACTTATCAATAAAATATGTAATTGCTTTTAAGAATGTTTTTCAACTACCAAGGCTATGCAAATAAAGTATGAATTCGGCCTATAACTTTCAGCGCCATTGCGCTTACCTCATTTATAAAGAGGTATTAATATGGTGCTTTTCAGGTCGTCGGAAATAGCACCGCTTCTTTTAATTTAATTGAATATACACGGTGATTGTATCACTACTGCTTTGTGCACGTTAAATACCCCAGAGTAGATGCTGTACTGCACTCGCTAAATTTTTCATCTACAGCTGAGACAATAGACACCCATTAAGGCTGACTAACTTCCGGTTGTATATTCATACATTAGAATTATGGGGTGTTTATTAACAACCTTAATATATTTGTTTAAAAAACGACGAAAGCTACATTACTGCAGTTTGTGCAGGTGAGATATTCGGCCAAAGAGGGATAGTATAGGGGGCTAATCGTGACGATCAATCGGCTAATTAGTTAAGAAATGTAAATAGCCGTTTTATTTAATGCAAATAAACATATGACTCTAATTAGAAACTTTCTGAGCGCAATCGAAGACCACTAAACCAGTGAATATAGAATACTTAGAGCACGTGGGAAGCACGTCAGAGCGCTAAAGTTACCACTGGTGCAGTAGGAGCGAAGGAACTTGTGCGATAACAGGCTCGCGTGATTTTTTCGTCCCTTATATTCCGCCTTTTTATTGCGAAGGCATTTTTTCCCAGCCTTGCGCCCTTTGCACAACGGGTACCTTAAGCGCGCTACTACGCTTCCCACGCGCTCAGTATATCTAAATATCCCTGATTTAACGGTTTTTAATGAAGTCCCTCATTGGAATCCTATGTCTATTTTCTCTAATTAAAAAGTAAGTCATATATTTGAATTATCACGACAATTAGCCCCTTATATTTTGTCACCCTGGCCGTATAACTCACTTGCACAAACCGCATTAGTGTAATTGCAGGATTTTCCTCGCTGCTATCCGTCTCGAGAAATTGCACAACGCACTGGTTCAACCACACGTAGTCATTTAGGGACTGCCATCGCGCGCCGTGACTCCAAAATGCTCATGCATATTTCTATGCCGGTCTTGTATCAGTGGCGGAGCGCCACCTCGTGTGGACGATTACGCTTCGCCACCTTGTGGTAGAAATGACGAGAGACGATTTAACATGCAGTCAATCTGGTAAAAGGCTGTGAGTCACAAGGTTGCCCACAATGTTCCACGGCTCTTTTAAACATTTGTAAAACCGAAAATCAAACACCCTGAACGTAAAAACACCTTTCCCAAAGTTTTGACGTAAGTTGCAGAGATGAATACGAAAACACCGCTCGGTATCTTCTTTGTTTGAAAACTACATTACTAAATTCGAATGTCTTCCAGGGTCATTACTGGTAAATGCACTGCACACCGATAATAATTGTTTTTTAGGTTGGTTGTTACGGCGACATCATCCTTCGAAACACCCGTTACTGAGGCGAAAACACTGTTGGAACTCTCGGCGATTGCCTTCGCGTCATGGTCAAAACATTTTAAAATACCATCATCGAGAAATGACTTGGAAGCAGTCTTAATTATATAAAATCGTAACTGAACCATGTGTTTTTTCTTAAAATTGTTACGTTCGTTTGGATTAAAAATTGGATATAATAATAATAATAAAAATAATAATAATAAAATTAATAATAATATTAATATAATTTTTTTCACACATGCCGAAATATGGCACAAAAGACAAATCACGCTCGTCTGTTAGACGTTATACCTTAAATGTTTCTTTGTCGTGTGGGCTAGAAAGCTGCTTCAATTAAACAGAAAAAAGCGAACGTTTTGCCTTAGGTTCTATTTTGCCGTGACCAGTATGTCTAATTAATTGTCTTCGCTTCACCGAGAAAAAAATGTAATCCAAATTATAGTTACCTATGCTACCACAAATTAGGGTTCAACAATATTTAATTCCTTATACGAGTGCGCGAAAAATACAACGAATTTTTCATCTGCAATACTCAGGAATTTTAATATTTTTAATTTTTCATTTGAAGCCTACACTAAGAACGCCATTTTTCTTCAATTTGCTTTGTTTTCACTTTTTACACTACTCCTCGGGCCTTGGTTTGACACTAAGACTAGAGTTCTATTGCCTTACTCGTCAATAGATGATTGCTTATGTTTTCAAGGAGCAGCGAAAGCAACAAATTTCAGCAGCACTTAAAAAAAAAAAAAAGATTCCTTTACATACCTTTGGCCCCTTCCTGTCTTGAACTTAGACGAACTTTGGGCCAACATTCCACAACAGCATACATCAAGCAGAGCCAGAGGCATATTGTCCCGCTAGTGTATTCATCGAAAACCTGTTGTAGCTCAAAATCTAATCCTTCGTCAGGACGAAGGAGTTGGATATGAAAGGCTAACTGCTGTGGGCTGTCTCTTTTGAAACACGTTGGCGGCAGATAACTTGTTTTCGCTCATGAGAGGAAAAAGGTCCCACGTATTCATTACGCTTGATCTTTGACGTCATAACGGACTTTAGAAACAGCTTTGCAGAACAATGTTCGAATGACTGCAACAAACATATGTTTTTACGTAAATTTTGCCACGCCGTTACTTCCGCCTCTGACTCAAGTAAAGTTGGGGTCAGTATTATATACTGCTTATATTTTTCGCTGAGGTTTTTTTTTTACCTTTTCACTTAACAGGTGCAAGCAGAACGCTGCTTTCTTTGGCCAGCTATAAGTATTACATTGTTTGTCTTGGGAAATAAATATGTACATATATACGTACGCACTATAGGTATTATTAACAAATCGCATCACTCCGTGTTTCTGAGATATTGAGCTAATCCAACGCTTTTCACAGTACCAAAGAAGCACACGTGCAATTCAAAATCGCAATAAAAAAAAAAGCTTAACCCTTAAGACATTTAGTTAGATACTCTTTTGGTTTTCCACAATTTCTAATATCACACTAGAATTTGGCGTTATTAGACATTAACCACAGGGGGAATTGGGGGTAAGGGGGGGGGGGGAGAGGAGGGCGGTCAAGATGCGTGTGTATGTTATAGGCCCGTTTTTCTCGGCCATTTGGCGCGAGCGCATCCTCGAGACGCCACTATGAACTACTGACGTAGCGCCCGAAAGATGCGACCCTAGAGCGCCGCTATTGCGTCAGTTAGCACATTTTTCATCGTCTGCCTATGCAAGCAAACACCTTTCATCGTCTGTCTATGCGCGCCAACGGAGTACCTGAAAAAAAATCAATAAACCAAAACATACAAGTCGAGGCCTCACCGTTCAATGGAAACGCTAAAGGCTCTGTTACAATCCGACGTTAAACCTATAACGTGGCGTAGCGCAGATTACACGGCCAATGAAAGGCGCGCGTTCTGCGCTACGCTGCGTTCATTGCGCTCAACGTCGGAGTATACCAGAGTCTAAAATGCCAGTTCCCACATGGAGTGGCGCTCTGGTAGAGCGCTGTTCACGTGTCGTCAACTACTTATCGTCTGCCATGAGCAACCGTTTTGACTGTGCGATATAAATCTGCTGAACGCTCCCGTCAGCACGCACTAGGCACAAGGTCGGCGTTGTGCTCAGAGCGCTGTGCTCTATGCGTGAACAGGCCTTAAGAGAGCGTTCCTTTCAGCTGCTTTGTTTCTAATATTTATAGCGTTCGAGAGCAACTTAGAGGAGCATATTATCATGCAAACGAAACGCGACCTAAATATTATATTGCGCTCTCTAGGGGCGCTGCTCTAAACTTGAAAGCTACAGTCCTATAGGGTCGGCAGGATATTTTTCGCGGGGGACGGGGTGGGGGAGGGAGGGGGGGAGGGGGGGGGGGGTTAAGCCACATAACTTTTTTTTATTAGGCTACACCATTGCCCAGTGGAACTCGGCAAGGGTCCTTGGTCCTCTCGGAGACGTCCAAACCTCTCTTTGGCCTATCAAAAGATTCAACTCAAGGGACAACCCTGTAACTACCGGCACCAAGTCACCTGCACTTTTTACCCCACGGCTCAACTTACGCACCGGATGTATTGACCCTCTCTTTGCGTGGACCCAAATGCACGACAGCTCCGGTTGCAGTGAACTCGTCGAATGACGTTTCATCGTGATATTAATTAGTCAACATGCGACGTTTGTAACCATGCCACGGTGCGAGCATGCCGCCAAGTTCTTGGAGACGATTTAAAGGAGCAGCCCACGCCCAGTGATGAAACCGCGGCGCGGCGAAAGCGTACCGCGAAGGCATTGTTTTAGAATATAAGAAAGAAGTCATGAAACCAGCATATATATTTAAAACTCTATCATATCTCGCAAGCATCTCAGGCCCTTAAAACAGTTCTGACATATGAGCAGCAGACTGTTCATTCACAGATATAAACGAATAAAAATCAGTGGCTCTTCGATTAAAATGGATGACGTTGTGATTACATTGGTGACAACTTTGATTAAATTAGTTTGTGGTTGGGTTAAATAGATGACAACATAAATTAAATGGAAGTATAGCTGGTTCACTTCAGGGGCGGTCGGATGATAAAAGTTATTTGGATAATTTTGAGCGGGAAAAGCTAAAAACGAAATGACGTACCGCTGTCTATGCCGAGAGGTCGTGCTCCGAGATGCTCTTTAGCACGCTCTAGAGCGAAACAAAAAAAGACAACAAGACGTGGCGAGTAAGGTGATGCTTATTAAAACATTCTTCTTGTTGTGCTTGTGCTTTGAAACATGACTTAAAGACAAGTTGACTTTTTGGGGCATTTATACTCTGACATGCAATGCAAACTAATGAAAGATTTCAGAGGAGTGGAAAAGCTAGAAAGGTATTGACTTTTAACCTTTTAGCAGAATAGTTACTCTTATCCTAGTATATGCAGTGCAATAGGGTTAGAATTAAATACAAGCTTGCGCTACAAATGCATTTTTTACTGCTCCAAAAGGAACTTTTGGTTTCGACAAAGGGTTCTTTAAAACGATTCAATCCAATCGTATTACTAAAAACTTTACCACAAAATATTGATCAAGGCAACAAGAAAGGGAGGATTTTAAGCTTGAAAAAATTATATCTTAAACATGATTACGCGGATTCGTGAAATTGACTACAACTTCCACGAAAAATGTTACCGTAGTGAAAGCTCGAACTAGTTCAGTTTATGGTATGGGCTCTGTCTAACTTAGAGTGGTGTTTGAGTTCTCAGGTATATTGGTCACAGGATATATTCTATGTCCCTACTCACTGACATTAACTTACTTCAAGACTATTGACGCTGGCCTACTTCAAGATCCCTGACCTGAACACGTTAGAGCATACGCCAATAAACCCCATCGATATTTAATATCCCGGCATAGTGAAAGCGATTAAAAAAAAATTCTAGTGCTTGTGAGGGTTTGGTAAACTCAAAGATTTCGAAAATACAGAACACACAGTAGCGTATTACTTGCCCAAATTATTTAAACAATTATTAAATTCGGGAAGGCTACCGGACGACTGTTAAATAGAAAAAAAATACGGTCCATTCACAGAACAAGAGACCAAAACCAAATAGAAATCTATCGCCCTATATCAATCACCACTGTTCCTTGCAAGCTTCTCGATCATATCATATATTCTAACGTAATTAACTACTCATAATTTAATAACTTGCTATGCTCGAACCAGCATAAGTTCCACGAAACGTTTCTTTTTTTGTGAAACCCAGTTGTTACACTTTACACATGACCTTTTTTCTAACCTAGATAACAAACTCCAAACGGACACCATATTCATTGAATTCTCAAAAGCATTTGATAAGGTACCTCATCAATGCCTCAATAAAAATGACCTTCTCTTAAACTTTATCCGGACATAGCAGAGAGGATCAGAGAGTTCCTCAGAAATTGCACGCATTATACAGTCACCAATAGCAAAATGTCATGCAGGTCCCTTGTCACCTCAGGTGTCCCACAGGGAATCGTACCAGGCCCATTAATATTCTTGGCATAGATCAACGACTTAACAAAACTTCTGTCATCCCCTGTGCTTCTCTTCGTAGGCGACTACGTCATTTACAGAGCCATCAAAACACCAGATGACCATGGAACACTCCGAGATGACCGCACTATATCTGAACCGTGGTGTAACAATCGACAGATGAGTCTAAACATGGAAAAGTGCTAGTTACTAATATTCACACGTCGTACCACCTTGTCTAATTTTTCTTACCAATGTTACAACAGCTTACCTAAATCTTACAACATTGGTCACTGCACAATATACAAGTACCTAGGACTTCGCCTCACCAGCAATCTCGCATGGAACAACCACGTTAAGGAAGTTGTCTTAGCAGCTAACTGCACACTTTGATACTTTAAACGTAACCTCAGACTCTGTGCGCCTGAAATCTGAAAGCTAGCTTACACAACCCTAGTTCAGTCCCAAGTAGAATGCGCATGATAGATTTGGTCACCATTTCTAAGTTATTTCATTAACGAACTACAAAAAAATAAAAACAAAGCACCAAGGAACATTCACTCCGACTACTCTTCCTATACCAGTATCAGTTCACTTCGTAATCGGGCTGGTATCTAAACACTTTCTTTTCGTCGAAGGATTTCCCGACTTGCCCTTCCTCATAAAATATATCATGACAATCCGAAGATAAAAATGGCATCTCTCTGCTCCCCAGATCGAATTTTCGCTAGGGTTGACAATGTGTGTAAAATCAAATTCATTCACACTTCACCCTAGTTTTTCGCAAATTTAATGATATCTTTTGCTATTGACGGTTTGAATTCATTACCCAACGACATTGTACTAGAAATTAACACCTCTAAGTTTTGTGAACTTCTCAGCGTTTTGTTAGATCAAATAAACGAATTATAAAAATTTACAGTTCTTTGTTAACTTGTTATCGCCATTTAACATTTGTACCATGTTTTTATTTCTTTTTCTTGTTATCTTGTGACTTTCATTTTTGTGTTTAAATAGTGTCGTCTAAACAGTGCAGAACCCGGCAACGGGTCATCAAGGAAAATAAATGGAATAAATAAAATGATATTAAAGAGATGACAGAATTTTCGTGGTTTTTGATATCGGGGGTTTCACTGTCGGGGGACATCGGGGGATACAGGGGATTCATTGGCAGAGCATGTAAGAGACTAATACAAAAGAATATGTTTGCAATACTTGGACATGTACGAAATAAATAAATAAATAAACAAATAAATAAGTAAAAATAAAAACTTTAGGGTTATCCAGATAAACGTCTTTAGCTAGTGTTCCACTGGATAATGACGAGAAAGTTAAGAGTTTATGCGTTTTTCTGTAACTAAACCCATCTTTAAGAACTTTTGAATTTTAAGAAGTGGCAGGAGAGTTTGGCACAATAGTTTGTTGCAACACAAGAAACGCGAGAAGTGCTCCTTCTCGAAAGCCTTCCACTATATCCAATTAACCGGAGCAAACTCAGGAGGGGAGACAAGTGGAAAGGGACATACTACTAATCATGGTGAGCAGAGAGCTTTGAGCCGCATTTATTAG